CTTAGCTGCTTGAGCCACAGGCGCTGAGCTGCTTTTCCCTTTCTGAAAAATTCTTAAGTGTCACTCATTTAAAAACTTCCTTAATATGGCTGTATGTATGAGGCATTGCCTCATGCTTAAATCTCATCTCAATTCTCATTCTTTCTCTTTTTGTCACCTTTAGAACCTTTGTGCACGCGTTTGGCTACTGAGCTAACTCCTCATCTTTTATGCCTCAGCTCTAGTGGCCTTTTCTATCCTAAGTCTCTTTTGTAGGTTCTCTCATTACACAGTTGCATTCCTTTGTGTTATACTTGCCACATTTGCAGTTTTACCTTTGTTAATGTCATTGTTTGATTAATTTGCATCTTTTCTAATGACTAAGCTTGATGAGTCAGGAACAGTATTTTTGTTCATGATTATATCTACAAATCCTAATTTTCCATAATCAGAAAACTGTAAGGGGATGCATTTAATACCAAATCAGATTAATAAAAAAAAAAAGAAATTATTCAGGTGAGATAGTGGTAAAACTGATAACCAAATAAACTAATAGTGTCTTCTCGGTTATACTATAAAGCAAGTACTATAGAAAAGGTCACAGTTTTTGGCTGGCTATTCCTATAAATGTATTTTTAACCAAAGAGGGGGGAAATCTATATTTTCAAAGATGGTCATCACACAAAATTATCTATAGTAAAAAAACAAAACCAAAACACAACTGGTACATTGCCTATATGTCCAGTAATGAAAGACCAGTTAAGTAAATTAACAGTGATGTTTATGTAAAGAATGGAAAATATTTTCAGTATAAACAGTGGAAAAAGCAGAATAAAAATTCGTATTTATACTACATTTGCAACTGAATAGATGTAAGTATAAATTTGGACAAAGATGGAAGGGGGGAATATGGCAGGATGAAAGAATTGCCTTAGAGTTATGTGTGTTTTTTTTCAACAATGTATGGTTTTGTGATTTGAAAAATTAGTGTCCCAGTGCTACATTTTTTTTCTTTTTATAACATCACTTGGATGCTTTTCTCTCTGTAGTATGGACCTGTATTTAGTTTCACCATGGTAGGGAAGACATTTACTTACCTTTTGGGGAGTGATGCTGCTGCGCTGCTTTTTAATAGTAAAAATGAAGACCTGAATGCCGAAGATGTCTACAGTCGTCTGACAACGCCTGTGTTTGGGAAGGGAGTGGCCTATGATGTGCCTAATCCGGTCAGTAACACCGTTGTCCTGAACAAAGACAGATCTGTACTGTAATAGTTACAGCTAATAGTGTTCTACATTTAAAATGTAAAAATAATTCATTCTTTGGATCAAGAATCTGAAGAGCCACAATACATTTAAAAGAAGAAAAGCCATGGGTAACTGATAAGGAACTCGTATGGACTGTGCAATTTTAAAGGGCTTCCTGTATGAAAAAATGCAATAAATGATAACTTAGCATATCGAGATTTAATGTGAGAGAGTAATAAGAAAATCCTATTATTTTGTCAAAAGGACGTCCTATCTACACACTCTGCCTAAAAGTCTAGCATAAGAGCTATTTGGAGTTAGAGATGGCTAATTTTTTTTTTTTTTTTAGACGGAGCCTCAAGCTATCCCCCTGGGTAGAGTGCCATGGCATCACGCTCACAGCAACCTCCTGGGCTCAAGCGAGTCTCCTGCCTCAGCCTCCCAAGTAGCTGGGACTACAGGCGCCCACCACAATGCCTGGCCATTTTTTGTTGTTGTTGCAGCCATCATTGTTGTTTGGCGGGCCCCGGGCTGGGGATTCGAATCCACCACCTTAGGTGTATGTGGCTGGCGCCTTAGCCGCTTGAGCCACAGGCGCCGAGCCAGAGATGGCTAATTTTAAAGGTTCTCTTTTAATGCAGTTTGTGTGTGTTTTACCCCCAAATTCAAATATTAAAATGTTGTTAATTAATACAGAATACAAATCAGATAATTTGCCTAAGTGCTTGGTGTGGGCTCTGGCAGTGAATGAAGCACAAATAACCCTAGAGTAGCAGTTAAAAGTTAACATTAAGTGTTGTTTCTTGGATATGATGGGAAGGGAGGAATGAGTCTCCTTAAGGCCAAAAGAAAGGGCCATGGAGGATCTTTTTGCTCAGATATATGTACATTTTCTCACACAGATTATTAGACTCTTAAACTATAAATGCTCACATAGGGTTAAAACCATTAGTTATCTTACTGTTATTAGTTGTAATAACCCAAATGGATCTTATGATAAAATAAAAATGTATTTTAATGCATTGTACTCTTAATTTTTTTGAAGGTTTTCTTGGAACAGAAGAAAATGTTAAAAAGTGGCCTTAACATAGCCCACTTTCGGCAGCATGTTTCTATAATTGAAAAAGAAACAAAGGAATACTTTCAAAGTTGGGGAGAAAGTGGGGAAAAAAGTAAGCCAAACATCTTACATTTGTCCTATTCCTACTCTTCTGTGAATAGAAATCTAAAGTACGTATGTGTGTAGTGCATTTAAAACAAGCGACAGTGTGTGTTAAACTACCTTGCATTTACTAGGAGGGATGTGTTACCATTACTGTGCAGTTGTAACTGAGAATCCAGTCTTTATACTGGACTGGAGTCAGTATTGCCTTCAGAGGCAATTTCTGTGCCCCTAGGAAGCAGCATCTGCCCACAGGGCAGCTGGACCCAGGGCTTTGACAGTTCATCACATTCTGGATCTGGTCTTTAGCTTCTATTAAAGGTCAGAAACTATTTTTAGTATACCTAAAGTTGAAATATTTTCTAACGTTATAACAAGTTAATGTGTAAATCAGAATGCCACTTTAATAATACATATGAGACATATGATTATAGCACCAAGAAGACCAGAATATTTGCTGATTGTTTTCTTTACTGGGAAATCTAATTGGAAAGCCAAATGATTGGAAGTTCACTTGGTGAATGTGGAATTAAAAAACAGGAATTAGGCTCAGTGCCTGTGGCTCAAGTGGCTAAGGCGCCAGCCACATATACCTAAGGTGGTGGGTTCAAATCCAGCCCGGGCCCACCAAAACAACAATGATGGCTGCAACCAAAAAATACCCGGGCGTTGTGGCTGGCGCTGTGGTCCCAGCTATTTGGGAGGCTGAGGCAGGGGACTCACTTGAGCCCAGGAGTTGGAGGTTGCTGTGAGCCGTGATGCCACAGTACTCTACGCAGGGGGATAGCTTGAGGCTCTGTCTCAAAAAAAAACCCTAGGAATTAATTGGATAATTTTTATTCTGTGTCATCAATATGTGCTTGCCTGATCCATCTGTCTCTAATGTTGGAATGTACCAACTAGTGATTAGTTATAGTCTTTTTTTTGTATATGGCCAAGACTTTAGTTTTTAGTTCTGATCATCCTTTTTTTTTTAACCAGAAGAATAAGCTAAACTTCAGTCTTTGTACTGCTGGAAAGTGCCTTGTTATTGTCCTAATATGCATTATAAATAAACTTTTGCTGCTTTTGTTTTACTATGGCCTGGAAATCAGATAACCACTTTTTTTTTTTTTTGAGAGAGAGTCTCACTTTGTCGCCCTCAGTAGAGTGCTGTAGTATCACAGCTCATAGTAACCTCCAGCTCTTGGGCTTAAGCGATTCTCTTGCCTCAGCCTCCTGAGTAGCTGGGACTACGGCCTCCTGCCACAATGCCCAGCTATTTTTTGTTGCAGTTTGGCTGGGGCTAGGTTTGAACCCGCCACCTTTGGTATATGGGGCCAGCACGCTACTCACTGAGCCACTGGCGATGCCCTATGCCCAGCTATTTTTTTGGTGCAGTTGTCATTGTTGACCAGGCTGGCTTCGAACCTGCTAGCAAACCAGCCAGCCTCGGTGTATGTGGCTGGTGCTGTAACCACTGTGCTAAGGGTGCTGAGCCAGATAACCACATTTTAATCTTCATTTTTATCTTTTCATAAGGATGAAGAGCTCATGAGTGAGCTTTAGATGCCTTTGTGGCATCTGTTTTGGCTGTCCATAGGAGCAGCATACTTCCTGTTTAGTTCATTGTCTTTTTTCCTTCAGTGTTGTGCATAGCTTTTTTTTTTATGATGTGAGTAGGATCTTGTTTGTTCTAGAGCTAAGGTTTTACTCTCAATTTTACTTCCCAATGCCTTTATATTGTTAAGAAAACAGGGTTAAGAATTTCAAAATTGTTTTGGGACATAGTAATGAGAATGATCTTTCTTCCCCTAGATTTATTTGAAGCTCTTTCTGAGCTCATAATTTTAACAGCTAGCCATTGTTTACATGGAAAGGAAATCAGAAGTCAACTCAATGAGAAGGTGGCACAGCTGTATGCAGATTTGGATGGAGGTTTTAGCCATGCAGCCTGGCTGTTACCAGGTTGGCTTCCTTTGCCTAGTTTCAGGTATGGATGAAGAAGACATTACACTTGGTTATTTACCTTTGTATAATTACTGTAGTGTTGATATATGCTTTGTTTTAACAAAGAAAAAACTTAAACAGGTAAAAACATAAATTAGAGGAGTTTATGAATCACTATTCTTCTATAAAAATTCAAGATAAGTTTTTCTTTATACACTGAGCTCCTTCTAAGTAAGTTTCAGTTTATTAAGGAAGTGACTTGTTGGCCAAGCACAGTGGGTCACACCTGTAATCCTACCACTCTGGGAAGCTGGAGTTGGAGGATCCCTTGAGCTTAGGAGTTGAAGACCAGCCTGAGCAAGAGTGAGACCCCATCTCTATCTACTAAAAAATAGAAAAACAAGCTGGGTGGGGTAGCTATAGTCCCAGCTACTTAGGAGGCTGAGGCAAGAGGATCACTTGATCCCAGGAGTTTGAGGTTTCTGGGAGCTAGACTGATGCCGTGGCACTATAGCCTGGTGACAAAGTGAGACTCTGTCTCAACAACAACAACAGTAACAACAAAAAGTGGTTGTTGTCTAGTCTCATATTTTGAAGTTTGCCTGTCTCACATGTTCCTGTATTCAGGGTGGCTTTATAGTGGATTGTGAAATTTTTATTTTTTGAATATTTGTGCCTTTATTTAATTTTCTATTTGTCTCCATGTTAGCTGTCTTATGTTTTTCCTAAGGGCGGGAACTGTCTCTGATGAAAAAGTATGCAGCTCTTAGGACTTGATGTATAGCTTAGTATCTTGCATATTAGGTTTTCTGTATCTTTGTTGATTCATTTCTGTTTAGGTGACAGATGGGGAAGAGTTAATTTGGCATTCCCCTTTCCTTTCATTTCTGCTCCCTTCTATCTGTTTACAGAATAAAAGAGGGATGAGAGTAAAAGAGAGAGCCAGGAGAGGTTCTCTAAAGTTCTCTGCAACTCATCACATCTTATAGATCCTTATGTATTTGTAAGGAGCTTTGCAGTTTCAAAATATATATTCTATTACAACACCCAGCACAGCCCTTGGCTTATGGTGGGCCTCCATAAATGTGTATTGAGCCTGTTTCCACTTGCCCTATCTCCTGAGTGAAGTCAGAATTCTTGAGTTTGCTATGATAGGCTCTTGATACTCTAGCTCAGTCCTTTTCTGTTTCACTCATACCAACTGATTAACCAGATTATTCCATTTACTTTTTTAAACAGGCCTTTTGTTTTCCTGGCTGTGCTGTGTTCATACTACTAAGCTTCAACATCTTCCTCCCTTCTCTGTGTATGATCTCAGTTGATCCTCAGTTATAGTCTTGTAAGTGAAGCAGGGTAAGAGTGTTTATTAGAAGGCTTGATGTGAGAGGGGGCTTAGAAGTCAGATCGTCTGGTTTTACATTCCAGATCGAATGCTCACTGACTGATTTTTGTTTTTTGTTTTTTGAGACAGTTTCATTTTGTTGCCATTGGTAGAGTGCTGTGGCATCACAGCTTACAGCAACCTCAGACTCTTGCCTCAGCCTCCCAAGTAGCTGGGACTATACGCACCAGTCACAATGCCCAGCTATTTTTAGAGATGGGTCTTGCTCTTGCTCAGACTGGTCTGGAACTCGTGAGCTCAGGCAATCCACCTGCCTTGGCCTCCCAGAATGCTAGGATTACAGGTGTGAGCCACTGTGCCTGGCCTTGACTGTGTGATCTTATGCAGGGAGATATAAATTGAGGATAATAGTGCCTATTTTGTAGGAAGATAAAATGAATAACTCATGAAAAATACTTAACACATTAGCTACTACATAGTTAGCACCTATTTAAAGGTAGAATGTAAGGAGTTGAATCTACTAGTATTTTTGACCCCTGTATACCTGTTGTACTAGAAAATAAAAAGTAGGAGCAAATCCTGTAGGAGACCAGAGTGACTATCCTGTTTTAAGAGATGATTTCAAGTTAATTTTAAAAAGTATTCAACTTTCATTTTTTTTTTTTGTTGCAGTTTGGCCGGGCTGGGTTCAAACCTACCACCCTCAGTATATCAGGCCGGCGCCCTACTCACTGAGCCACAGGCGCCACCCTCAACTTTCCTTTGAATTGGAAAATGCTTCTAGAGGGTTTCTTGCTTTTCTTTGGGCCTTTAGTTTGAACACAGACAATTTGTTAAGAATCAGGAGCTACACATATTTAAACAGTTCTTTCCCTGAAGGATCATGAAAATTTCTAACTGTTAAGATTTTCATGACTTCATATTTTTTCTTGGTTCTGAGTTTTTGTCAGTTATTTTAGAGTCATTCAAGTTTATTAAATAAAGTTGCTTTAAGTTCAGTTCTGCTTCTCAAATGAATTTGATTCTACAAAGTATTGCTTTATTTTAAAAAGTCACTATTTTTGAATTATAGACGCAGGGACAGAGCTCATCGAGAGATCAAGAATATTTTCTACAAGGCAATCCAGAAACGCAGACAGTCTGAAGAAAAAGTTGATGACATTCTGCAAACTTTACTAGATTCTACATACAAGTAAGAGCTGTTTAGATCACATATTAAGCTGCAGCAAGAAATTACACATTAAAATGTTAAATAATACTTCTAGATAAGAAATATAATGCTGTCAAAATAAGGTGGTAGCTATGATCTTTAGACTTTTTTTTTTTTGTTTTGGCTTTTAAAAAAAATTTTTTTTTTTGAGATAGTCTCATGCTACCTTTGGTAGAGTGCTGTGGCATCACAGCTCACAGCAACCTCAAACTCTTGGGTTTAAGTGATTCTCTTGCCTCAGCTTCCCAAGTAGCTGAGACTACAGGCACTCACCACAGTGCCTGGCTATTTTTTTGTTGTAGTTGTTGTTGTTTAGCAGGCCCCGGGCTGGTTTCAAACCCACCAGCCCCAGTGTATGTGGCTCGCGCCCTAACCACTGAGCTACAGACACTAAAGCAGAGACTTTTTAAATTGTTGAGACACAAATTACTTGCATCTTGAGGCTTACTTGAATTCCAGTGATTGGGCATGGTAAGAGTTTTCTAATAAACTGTTATGAAGTGTTTTTGTAATTCCTATTTTCCACTGGTCTGTCTCTTCCCTAAGGCGAGGTGGTAGGGAGAAAAAACCCTCTGACTTGTTGTAGGCGAATGCAGGAGACTGCTATATCTGAAAAATGTATTTATTATGACACTTTATTTAAAGATTGAGGTATGAATGTGTCTAAGTGTTACATTCATGTGTGTGGTTTGTTCCATAGGGATGGACGTCCTTTGTCAGATGATGAAGTAGCAGGGATGCTTATTGGACTGCTCTTGGCAGGGCAGCACACATCCTCAACTACTAGTGCCTGGATGGGCTTCTTTTTGGCCAGAGACAAAACACTTCAAGAAAAATGTTATTTAGAACAGCAAACAGTCTGTGGAGAGGATCTGCCTCCTTTAGCTTACGACCAGGTTTGTTGGATTTTTCTGTTTCATTGCTGCCTCATCACTTTGAATATCTGCAGTGACTTTTTAGAAGGGACAGACAGTTTCAGGTTTTTTATATATCTTAAGCTGAATTATCCCCCATAATCTTACCTAAAATATCCTAATGATACTGTGCTGGCCATTAAATTGATCAGATATCTTTTGAGTTGATACCTTAGAGATCCTTAGGGTTGTGTCTTTGGTACTTACTTCCTCCACTTCAAAGTCTGGCTTCTTTAGATAGAAAGGATATTATGTGTGGGTCGTATGTCTTATGAAGTGTAGAAGCCTCTGAATTATGTAGAATGCTATGTGTGGAGAATGGCCTGGGCATTTGCAGAGACTTAAAGTGATAGTAGTAGTAATGGAGATTGGAAATTCATAAACACTACACCCAGCCTGCTGGCTGGAAAGGAAGAGAGAAGGGTTCTCTGTACAACCTGAGATTCCACATTGGAAGTAAACCCTGGTCATGGTCTCTTCCTGTTATTTTATTTTTTTTGAGACAGAGCCTCAAGCTATCCCCCTAGGTAGAGTGCTGTGGCATCACAGCTCACAGCAATCTCTAATTCCTGGACTCAAGTGAGTCTCCTGCCTCAGCCTCCCAAGTAGCTGGGACTACAGGCGCCTGCCACAACGCCTGGCTATTTTTTTTTTTTGGTTGCAGCCCTCGTTGTTTTTGGCGGGCCTGGGCTGGATTCGAACTCGCCACCTAAGGTGTATGTGGCTGGTGCCTTAGCCACTTGAGCCACAAGTCTCGAGCCTCTTCCTGTTATTTTTTGTGTTCTTTGCTCCTGTATTGATATGATGTATAACATTGATTTCCAGATGTTAATTGTATTACTGGGATAAATCCTGCTTTGTCATGTTGCTGGATTTTTTTTTTCTTTTTTTTTTTTGAGACAGAGTCTCAAGCTGTCACCTTGGGTAGAGTGTTGTGACATCACAGCTCACAGTGACTTCAAACTCTTGGGCTTAAGCAATTCTCTTGCCTCAGCCTCTCAAGTAGCTGGGACTACAGGTGCCTGCCACAATGCCTGGCAATTTTTTTTGTTGCAGTTGTCATTGGTCTTTTAGCTGGCCCGGGCCAGGTTCGAATCCTCCAGCCTTGGTGTATGTGGCTGGCACCCTACCTGCTGAGCTGTGGGTGCTGCTGTGTTGCTGGATTTTTTATATGTTGCGGGATCTACTTTGTTAGTATTTTGTTGAAGACTTTTGCATTTATATTCATAAGGGAGATTGATCTGTGGTTTTATTGTGATGTCCTTGATTGGGTTTGGTATCAGGGTTATATAGGTCTCATAGAATGAGTTTGAATGTGTTCTCTTTCTCTTCTAGTTTTTGGAAGAGTTTATGAATGATTGGCATTAATCTTTTTTTACATGTTAGGTAGAATTTATCAGTGAAGCCACATGTGTCTGTGCTGTTCTTTGGGCAAAGTACTGATACAACTTACTTGTTTTAGGGCTATTCAGATGTTCCATTTCTTCATCAGTTTTAGTAGTTTGTGTTTTTCTAGGAATTTGTCCATTTCATCTAGGTTACCTAATTTGTTGGTATCCAGTTATTTATAGTATTCTCTTATTATCCTTTTTATTTCTGTTAGATCAGTAGTGATGTCCCCTCTTTCATTCCTGATTATAACCTTTTATGTAACAGCTTGATAGATAATTGACATACCTTAAAATCCTTCCCTTTAAGATACATAATTTTGTGGTTTTTAGTACTTTCAGAGTTGGGAAACCATTACGATTTAATTTTTGATCATTTACTTCACTTCCATAAGATAGCCAGTAGTTGTTAGCAGTCAAGCTCCATTCCCCCGACCCTGCCTCTGGCTTAGTAATATACTTTTTGTTTCCTTGGGTTTACCTGTTCTGGACTTTCTTGTAAATGGAATCTAACAATATGTGGACTTTTGGGACTAGCTTTATTTATTGAGCATGTTATCAGAGTTTATGCTTGTTATATCAGTACTTCAGTCCTTTTTATTGCCAGTAATATTCCATTATATGGATATAAGGCATTTTGTGTATCCATTCATCAGTTGGCAGACATTTGGGTTGTTTCTACTTTTTATCTATTAGAAATAATGCTACTCTGAACTTTATGTTCGGATTTTGTGTGGATATATGTTTTCAGTGTTGGTGGTACATACTTAGAAGTAGAATTGAGGAGTCTTATGACAACTTTGAGGAACTGCCAGAGTGTTTTCCAAATTGGTTGCACAATGTTCCAATTCCACTAACACGAAGGTTCTGGTTACTCCACATCCTCACCAAACTTGTTATCTGACTTTTTGATTACAACAGGTGCAAAGTGGTATTTCATTTTGGCCCTGCATTTCTGTGATGACCAATGATGTTGAGTGTCTTATGATGTGCTCTTTGACTTCGGTCTATCTTCTTTGGAAAAATATTTGCTCATATCTGTTCCCATTTTAAACATGGGTTATTTATCTTTATTTATTTATTTATTTATTTTTGAGACAGAGCCTCAAGCTGTTGCCCTGGGTAGAGTGCCATGGCATCACAGCTCACCAGCAACCTCCAACTCCTGGGCTCAAGCGAGTCTTCTGCCTCCACCTCCCAAGTAGCTGGGACTACAGGTGCCCACTACAATGCCTGGTTATTTTTTGGTTGCAGCCGTCCTTGTTGTTTGGCGGGCCCAGGCTGGATTCAAACCCGCCAGCTCAGGTGTATGTGGCTGGTGCCTTTGCTGCTTGAGCCACAGGTGCTGAGCCTATTTATTTTTATTTTTTAATTTTTTTAATTTTTTGCAGTTTTTGGCTGGGGCTGGGTTGGAACCCACTACCTCCAGCATAGGGGGCCGGCGCCCTACTCCTTGAGCCACAGGTGCTGCCCAAACATGGGTTATTTTTCTTTTTATCATTTAGTTATAAGAGTTTATGTATTTTTCTTTCTTTCTTTTTTTTTTTTTTAAGAGACAGAGCCTCACTTTATCACCTTCTTTAGAGTGCAGTGACATCACAGCTCACAGCAATCTCCAGCTGCTGGTCTTAGGCAATTCTCTTGCCTCAGCCTCCCAAGTAGCTGGGACTACAGGTGCCTGCCACAACACCCGGCTATTTTTTTGTTGCAGTTTGGCCAGGGCTGGGTTTGAACCTGCCATCGGTGGTATATGGGGCTGGTGCCCTACTCACTGAGCCATAGGTGCCACCCTGTATTTTTTCTTGATGTGCTATTAGTGTCTAAGAAACTATTGCCTAATCAAAGGGTATGAAGATTTACTGTGTTTTTTCTTAGTGTTTTATGTTTTCATCTCTTATATTTAAGTCTTTGATCTATTTTGAGTTTATTTTTATATATTGTGTGAGGTCTTCATTCTTTGACATGTGGTTATCTGGTTGTCCAGCCTAGTTTATTGAAAAGACTTTTTTTTCTGCATTGAATTTTCTTGTCAAAAACCTATAGCCAGTTGTGGTGACATGTGCCAGTAGTCTTAGCTACTTGGGAGGCTAAGGTTGGAGGATTGTTTGAGTCTTAAGTATTTTGTTCTTTTGATGTTATTCTTTCTTTTGCCAGTTCAGATCTGCTGTTGATCCCCTCTAGTGAGTTTTTCATTTCAGTTTTTATACTTTTTAATTCCAGTTTTTATACTTTTTAATTTGGTTCCTTAAAAAAATAATTTATAAATATTCTGTTTGGTAAGGCATGGTTTATACTTTATTATTATTAATTTCATAGTTTTGGTCAGGGCTGGGCTGAAACCTGCCACCCTTGGTATATGGGGCCAGCGCCCTATTCCTTGAGCCACAGGCACCACCTTATACTTTAATTATTTAGATAATAGTTTTCTTTACTTCTTTGCACCTATTTATAATAGCTGATTTAAATTCTCTGTCTAGAAAATCCAATGTCTGGGCTTCTTCATGGATAGTTTCTATATAATTTTTTTTTTTTTTTTTTTTGAGACAGAGCCTCAAGCTGTCCCCCTGGGTAGAGTGCCGTGGAATTACATCTCACAGCACCCTCCAACTCCTGGGCTCAAGCGAGTCTCCTGCCTCTGCCTCCCATGTAGCTGGGACCACAGGCGCCCGCCACAATGCCTGGCTATTTTTTTTTGGTTGCAGCCGTCATTGTTGTTTAGCGGGTCCAGGCTGGGGATTCGAACCCGCCACCTTAGGTGTACGTGGCTGGCGCCTTAGCCAGTTGAGCCACAGGCGCCGAGCCATAATTTCTTTTTTATAATATACTGGCCATACTTTCCTTTTTTTTTTTTCTTAAATAGTTTTTTGTTGAAAACAGTACATTTAAAATAATGTGGTAACTCTAGAAACCAGATTTCTTCCTCCTTGAGTTTGTTGTTGCTGCTGCTGTTTGTTTAGTGCCATTACAGCATTAATTATATAAATTATGTGTTCTGTGGTGAGGTCACTGAAGTTTTTACTTTTTACTTTAGTGGCCATCTAATATTTGGATAGAGATTTATTGAAAAACAGTAAGTCTCCCAGGGAACTTTTCTCAGTCTCTTGTGAACATCTAAATCCCCAGTTTGTCCTTTGAACTTTTTGTTCTGTGTCTTGATAGCTCTTATTGCAGACTACCTTTGGTTAGTTTTTTAGAGTTTGAAAAAGTTGACATTGAGATTTTTGCTAGTGTTGTTATTTTTAGGGGGAGTGAATTTTTGCATGTACTTTCTATGCCATTCCTCGGAGTGATCACTTCTCTTCTTGTTATCTTGCCCTCCTTTATTCCCTTTGTTAACCATAGATAGTGATACAGCATGATAATCTTAGCCACTCTGAACCAGTCCTCTGCACTTCTACCTAGAATGCAAGCTAGTTTATACTAAACCAGGAAGTTAAATTTTTTTTATTCTGATTAAGTATGTTAAATATTTATAAAAATCAGGAAATGCTTTCTCTTTTTAGCTCAAGGATCTAAATTTACTTGATCGCTGTATAAAAGAAACATTAAGACTCAGACCTCCTATAATGACTATGATGAGAATGGCCAAAACTCCTCAGGTAAGTCTCTTGGCTAGATTTACACCTTTGTGCCCCCAGTGTTTGTTTATCAAAATTAGAAAGTAGAATAGCATGAAAGAGAATTTTTTTCAACTAAAAAAGTAGAATAATTGGTCAGGTATGGTGGCTCACGCCTATAAATCTTAGCATTCTCAGAGGCCAAGGTGGGTGGATCACCTGAGCTCAGTTTGAGATCAGCCTGAGCAAGAGCAAGACCCTGTCTCTACTAAAGTTAGAAAAAACAAACAAACCAGCAAAGAAAACCTAACAGGGCATTGTGGGCACCTGTAAAGTCCTAGCTACTTGGGAGGCTGAGGCAAGAGGATTGCTTGAGCCCAAGAGTTTGCCTTTGCTGTGAGCTATGATGTCAGGGGACTCTACCCAGGTGACAGTGTGAGACTCTGTCTCAAAAAATATAAAAAATAAAAATAGTAGAGGCTCGGTGCTTATCATACACTGAGGCTGGCAGGTAGGACCCTGGCTGGGGCCTGCTAAATGGTAATGACAACTGCAACAACAAGTAAAAATAGCCAGGTATTGTGGCAGTCGCCTGTAGTCCCAGCTACTTGGGAGGCTGAGACAAGTGAATCGCTTGAGCCCGAGTTTGAGGTTGCTACGGCACTATACCAAGGGGAACATAATGAGACTCTGTCTCAAAAAAAAAAAAAAAAGGAATAATCACCATTTCCACATGAGTTTCAATTTTTTATATTCGAAGTATGTGAATATTTTTACATATTTTCAGATAGTATACATGCTAATCTCTAATGCTTATCATGCTCTACATTTTTATTTAGCAATTGGGAATTTTAAAATATTAGTTTTTTTGGTTTAATAATGTTTTGTTGTAAAAAATTTTAGTCATATGACATGCATAAATCAGATAGTAAAAAGCATTATAAGTTTGATTTGGGTACTACACATTTGAAACTCAATGTGGGCTTACTTGGAAATCATCTTTTTTGGGGAGGAGCCATCTTGAGTTAAATAAATTTTAGTTGGCCTATCATCTGGCCAGTTTTTAAATGTACGTACATATGGTGGTTGACTATGATGGTTTGACTTACAGTCTTTAAAATTTATGATGGGCTTATCGGGACATAACCTTATTGTAAATCAAGGAGCATTGTATAGGTCATATATATCCATGCTTCGTTGCACAATGATCTGATTATGTGATAGCACATTTTAAAATTCTCTAATGAAATGTGTTGCTTTCATTTTAGACTGTGGCAGGATATACTATCCCTCCTGGACATCAGGTGTGTGTTTCTCCTACTGTCAATCAAAGACTTAAAGACTCATGGGTAGAACGTCTGGACTTTAATCCCGATCGCTATTTACAAGATAACCCAGCATCAGGAGAGAAGTTTGCCTATGTGCCATTTGGAGCTGGTAAGATGATTATATGAATTGAAATACTCATTCTGATAACTTATTTGTCTCTGTTAAAATAAAATAATCCATGTGAATTTTATTTACAGATATAAATGTCTCCCTTTATAGAGACATTCCTACAAAGTTTTGTAGGGGTAGAAATTTTGCAGGTTGGAAAAGAATCTTTCGTTTGTACTAAATAGATTTGTTCTGTGAATCCTTATACAATGCTCTATAACCTTCTAACCTGTCTAGTTTTTATTAGGTCTAATTTTTGTAGTCTACCCGTGTTTGCCTTATAATAGTCTTGAAAGCTTCATGAGTTGTTTCAAAGAATGATTGGGTGAGCACACCCACATTTGGAATTCTTTCAGGCTAACTATAACTGATTACCATCATTTCAGAAAGGAGTAAAGGCAGCCTATTAAAATTAAAGCTTTTCTGAATTATTAGTAAATGTTTTAGTTCTCTGTATCTTTATGACAAAATGGTCTTCAAATTTGGGCAGGTTATATGTAGGTTTGGAAATTTCATTTCCCAAGTAGATTCTTATTTTATTTTTTGAGACTGAGTCTCATTATGTTGCCCTCAGTAGAGTGCTATGGTGTCACAGCTCACAGCAACCTCCAACTCTTCCCAAGTAGATTCCAAAGTAATTTAGCAGATCCTTGCTCCTCCAATAATTTCTCAGTTCATTCATTAGTACTCTGTACAGATTAAATTATATTCTGTGACTTTTTATTTAGTCTTTCCAAAGAGATCATTTAAGGGAGAGAACTGTTTTGTCCTTGGTCACACTTTTTCCACATAGAAAGTCTTTTGGGACTTAACTTTGTTTAATAAATAAATTTAACACTGTGGTATATGACATAAAATAATCAGTCTTAACTTTGTTTAATAAATAAATTTAACACTGTGGTGTATGACATATAAAATAATCATTGATTGTTAACATTTGGAAGGGCATTCTGTCACCTAAATTCTGCCCCAAAGAGTACTCTTTTTTTTTTTTTGAGACAGAGCCTCAAGCTGTCCCCCCTGGGTAGAGTGCCAGACCTTCCAGCTCACAGCAACCTCCAACTCCTGGGCTCAAGCGAGTCTCTTGCCTCCGCCTCCTAAGTAGCTGGGACCACAGGCGCCCGCCACAACGCCCGGCTATTTTTTGGTTGCAGCCGTCATTGTTGTTTTGGCGGGTCCGGGCTGGGGATTCGAACCCGCCACCGTAGGTGTACATGGCCTTAGCCGGTTGAGCTATAGGCGCTGAGCCTGAGTACTCTTTTCTAAACTGTAATTATCTGGCTTCTGCTTGAACTTTACAGGAAATGGGTGTGGATTACTCAGTTACCTTCTGTGACAGCTCATTCCATTTTTGGACAGCTGTTATTTTTAGAACCTCATATTAAATCTCAAGTCTTTGCTTTTTAAACACCCCATTTATGGATCTTAATTGTGGTCTCTGAAGTTATATTGTATGAAATATTTAGTTGCAAGTATAGTGTCTCTTCAATCTTTATTTTCTAGTCAGTGTGTTAGTTTCCTAGGACTTCCATAACTAATTACCACAACCTTGCTGGCTTAAAACAACATACATTTATTTTCTCAGTTTTGGAGGCTGGAAGTCTAAAATCAAGTGTTGGCAGGACCATGCTCCTTCCTTGCCCCTTCCTAGAATCTGGTAGCTCTTGGCCTTCCTTGGCTTGTAGAGGGGTCACTCTAATTACTGCCTGTCTGAAACAGGATTCCTTCCATGTGGGTATCTCTGTGTCTTCAGATGGCCTTCTTATAAGGACACTAGTCATTGGTGCTAGGGCCCACCCTAAGTCTGTGATTTCATCATAATTAATTACATATACAAAGATCCTGTTTCCAAATAAGGTCATATTCTGAGGTTCTGGATGTACTTGGAATTTTCAGGGGTGGGGGATGACATACAAACATGTCAAATTATCTTGGTAAATATGTTAAGTATCTCTGATTTCTTTAAGCATTTATTTGTAATCATGCTGTTTAATTATGTTGGTGCATACAGCATGTAGTAATAAATCTACATTTTGTGAATCTTCAGAATTTATCTATTTGGCTGCTGATTCCATTGGGATACTTCTGGTTTGTTGCTATTAAAAATAATCCTTTTAGCCCAGTGCAGTGGCTCACGCCTATAATCCCAGCAACCTGGGAGGCTGAGGTGGGTGGATTGGTTGAGTTCAGGAGTTCGAGGTTAGCCAGAGCAAGAATGAGACCTGTGTGTATTAAACAGAAAAAAAAAAAAAAAAATAGCCATAGTGGCACATGCTACTTGAGAGGCTCAGGCAGTATTGCCCAAGAGTTTGGGGTTACTGTGAGTTATGATGCCAGGGCACTCTACCCAGGGTGACAGAGTGACTCTTAATTAAAAAAAGCAAAATCCTTTTAATTGTTCTTACTGTAAGCCAAACTTCTGCTTAGCTGTTATACTTGTTTGTACATGTCCTTTTAAAAATAGCAACTAGAAATAATGCAGTTATGGGCCAAGCAAGTGTTATACTCAGTAGCAGTTTTTTTCTTTTAATGCAAAATTTTACAGTGAAATGCCCAGATCCTAAGCTAATGTTGATTGAGAAATGAATAACCTTAGTTCAGTCTAATTTATCTATTTTTATTTATTTATTTTTGAGACAGTCTCATTTTGTTGCCCTCGGTATAGTGCTATGGCATCACAGCTCACAGCAATCTCTTGGGCTTAAGTGATTCTCTTGCAATCAGCCTCCCAAGTAGCTGGGACTACCGACATCTGCCATAATGTGCCTGGCTATTTTTTTAGAGCCAGAGGTCTTGCTCTGGCTCAGGCTGGTCTCTAACTCTTGAACTCAGGCAGTCCACCCACTTTGGTCTCCCAGAGTGCTAGTAATTTATCAATTTTTACAATGGTTATTGCATTCTGGTCATGTCTGAAAATCTTTGCTTAGCCCAAGTTTTGAATATATCCCCCTTTTCTCTACTAAAATTGATTGTCGTAACATTTATGGTTTATGTCCCATTTCGAATTTGTGTGTTGAGATAGGAACTGCATTTCAGTCTTTTCCCTGTGTAGTATCTAGTTAGTCCAGCATCATATATTGTAAAGACTTTTTCTCACACCTTTGTTGATAATCAAATAAGCATGAAAATATGTCTGGGTGCTTTGTTCCGTTCCATTGATCTGTTTGTTGATTCTTACTAGTATCATACTGTCTTGGTTGCTGTATCTTTAGCCTTTAAGTCAGTTTAGAAGTCGCTTTAAGTCCTTCACCTAGATTTTTTTTTTTTGTGAGATGGACCTCAAGCTGTCTCCCTGGGTAGAGTGCTGTG